GGTAAATTTTTAAAATTTGATTATACCTTTTTAATTTTAGATGAACAATTATAAATAATGTATTTTTATTATTTTTAGATGAATGATATTAAAAATACATGTTTGGTTATGCTTGAAAAATTTAAAGTGTTGTTTGATACATTATTATGTATCGAACCCGAAAAGGGTCAAAGATGCTAGGTGTTTTAAGAAGCGACAAGATTGATGATCAATGATCTATGATGTACACAGGAGGACTAATTTTGAGATTTAATTTCAATGGTTTATCTAGAACGAGTATCGATCCGGATGTTCATACTTAAAAATGATTCGATGTTTGGTTTTAAATGACTTAATAGGTTTGCTATGTTGATTACGATATTTTGATTATGTGATATTCATATCCAAGACATGAGTAGACATGTTTAGCTATTTTGTTGTTCATTGAAATGAAATTATCGATGACTTCTAACTCATATAAATAAAATCATTAGTGGCTTTCAAAATTTTTTAAATAACTTATTATTCGTTGAAACAAAGCCGTCAATGGCTTTCTATTTATGTAAAAGAAGTCGTTAGTGGCTTCTAATAGTTTTTGTTGTTTTGTCTGTTATGGTCTGCAGTCGTAAGAGATTCATCATTTTTACTTAAAATGATTTGCTATTTTACTATTATGGCTAAAGTTGTAAGGGACTCACCATTTTACCTAAAATGATTTGTTATTTTTCCCGTTATGGCTACAATCGTGATAGACTAACTATTTTACTTAAAAAATGATTTGTTGTTTTGTTGTTATAGCCGTAGTCATAAGAGAGTCGACTTTTTTACCTAAACTAATTTGCTATTTTGCTATTATAATTGTACATAGTTGTAAGGGACTCATCACTTTACCTAAAATAATTTACTATTTTGTCGTTATGGCTGCAATCGCAAAGAACTCGTCATTTTTTCCTAAAATGATTTATTGTTTTGTTATTATGGCTATAGTCACAAGGAACTCGCCATTTTACTTAAAATAATTTGTTGTTTTAGTGTTATAGCTACGATCATAAAGAACTCACTATTTTACTTAAAATGATTTGTTGTTTTGCTATTATGTACGTAGTATGAAAGGACTTCCCATTTTACCAAAAATGATTTAGTATTTTACTCGCTATTGCTACGAGTTGTAAAGGACTTGCTATTTTTATCTAAAATGATTTGTTATTTTACCGTTATGGCTATATTTATAAGAGACTCGCTATTTTTACCTAAAATGATTTGTTATTTTGTTATTATGGCTACAATCATAATAGACTCATCATTTTACTTAAAATGATTGTTGTTTTGCTATTGTGATTGTAGTCACAAGAGACTCGTTATTTTACCTAAAATAATTTAACATCTCAACTTATCTCCTCTTAGTATCAAGATTAAACAATAAATTCGGTAAATGTTAATCAAGAATTCACAAGCATTACAAACAATATCAATTAACTAACATAAATCAAACTTTTTTAGTTTAATATTAAATCATCAAAATAAATAATAACATAGTTTCAGCCTTACTTGGCCTTAGTCACTAAAAACTTAGCTCATAATTAACTAAAAATAAACCTTAAATATCGGTTTAAACATGATTCAAAATTTCATTACAAAAGAAGAAAATATGAATTACCACACTTTCAATTAAATCTTAAAAATTGAATCTTCTTTCCTTTAAAAGTTTTTTTGTTATGTTTATGAAAATTGTGAAATGAGTGAACAAATGGGTGTTATGGCTCGTTAATTGAATGATGATGCCAAATGTGATGTGTGTGGTACATTGTGTTAAATGTTTTATTTACTTGGATTGTATACCTTGAATGGAATGTGATGGACTAAAATGAGAAAGGTAATGGATTTCGATATGCATTTTTATTATGTTGAGGTATGCAATTTTATTACATAAATGCATATTTATTTATGGCATGCATTATGTTCATTATGAGGTTATGCATTTATATTTAAATGCATATGCATGTCAAAATCATGAAAAGTTTTTTCTTCATATTTTTCAAAGGAAAAGGAAAATGTTATCGAGAGTTCGATTATTCATAGTAGTTCTTCGTCAAGAGAATTGGTAAAAGCCTCGATAGAAGAACTTCTTTATTGGGGGGATTGGTAAAGACCTTAACGAAGAAAATAGTAAAAGAAAAGAGGGTCGAACATGTACACATGTGTGCATATTATACATTTAACGGGGCATGTTCGAAAAAGGAAGAGGATTTCAAAAATACATGAAAAAGATTTTAAAGGATTTCAAAAATGACTTGAAAAGGATTTTGAAAGTGCATTCACTTGCATACTTGCATATATACATAACATGCATGACTAACTTACCGAGCAATAACTTACCTAGTTTTTATGATGTAAAGGTGAAGAATAAAGAGTAGTGGCTATGTTCTCGTTAGAGCTTGTAATTGAAGAAACTTTTTTGTCTTTCTAGTAAATATATCTTACATGTGGCTACAAGTAAGATCTATTGCATGTGATTGTGCGGTTTCTTCTCGATATGCTAGTATATGTACTCGGTATGGCTACTTTGTTTTACATGATAGTAAAGGTAATGAATAAGTAAATAGGTTTAGATGGTTAGGCGATAAAGAAAAAATAGACTTATAAATATGTAAAACCACTTTTGGTAGATAGTGTGATACTAAGCTAGTTATCATGAAAAATAAAAAAAAGTGGGTTGTAGACACGTCGACCAATTTTAGACATGTTAATCATATAATAAAATAGTAGTGAGTAGTGTAACTTCTACTTGGTTTAATACTTGCATACTACTGACCGATGATAATACGGATAATCAAGTGAACATTGGAATAATAAAGAAAGAATAATGATTTAACACTTGCATGCTACTTGGTTGATGGTAATACGGATAATCAAGTAAACATAGGAATAATAAAGAAAGAATAGGAATAAATGACTTAATAATCTTCATAAAAGATAATAATTAATAAGGAAAATGTTAGACTCGTCAATTAAAAGATATCAACTAGATAAATTTATTCGACTTATAGAAAAAGAATTTGACAAAAATGAAAGGCATTGATCAAATTATTTCATTCTAAACTATTAAAATAAAATAGAAAAATAGAAAAATTTAATGGTGCATTTTAGACTAAAATTTGTAAGCAAAAATCGAACCTATTAACTACTTACCGAGATCTGTCGTAAAAAAAGTTAGAATTAATAATATAGTAAGAAGTATACGAAGCTTTGAGTCTTGCATTCACTATAAGTATGATGGTAATATCTTCAACCTATTTACATCCTAGATCAAGGGTGTTACAAGCATAGTTTCTCGAAACTTATCACAATTATTCAATAAGTTTTTTACAACATAGCTTAACCAAATTTAAAGTAGACATTGCATGGTGGTGTTAAACAATCACAAAAATTGGTTTCTTAGACATGAATTATAAGCCGAGTCGCACCTAACAACATCCTAAAAAAGAAAACACAATTTTAAAAACTAAAGAACTCAAAAATCACCTTGTTTAGAAAAAACGACAACAACAAATAAATGCAAGCAAAGCAATGGAGATCCGGAGATCCACGATTCTAGAAAAGTAGTATCATCCCAAAATGTGCAACACAATTAGATGAAAAAAAAAAAAGAGTAAGTTCTAAACAATCAATAAAAAATGGTTATAAAATGGCTTATCTTAGAATAAAATTGTAAAGCAATGACCAAGATGAGCCAATTAGGTCAATACAAATCAATCCAAGCAAGACAACGACAAAAATTTGAGAAACTAATAATCAATTGGGGTCTTAGTAAGAACAACCCATGATAATACACCACCCAAAACAAATGAAAGGAAGAGAAGAAATCGAGCAACCATACGGTGAAGATTGAACTAAAGAGAGGGAAAAAAATTGAGACCTAATGAAATTGAAATGGAGAGGAGGATGAAAAACTACTATACCGATAAAAATTGAACTAACCAACACCCACTATGAAATAGAAGCAAGAGGGAAGGGAAGAGGAATCAATCGAAACGTCCCTCTAGAAAAATCAACTCATTTGATAGATGGAAGGTAAAAAATGATGGCACTAAATAGAGTAGAAAATTCAAGATGGAAAAGCATTAAATGCTTTGTCGGAGATGAAAGGGAAAAGTCGAGAGAGAACAAAAGAAGCAAGGAAAAGAGGGGTAAAACGCAAAAATTGTAATAGCTCGAATGCACCGAATGGCGGGAACAATATTTATAGTAGAAGAAAAAGGCAAGAAAAATGAAGAAGAAAGACGCGAGATGAAAAAGAGAGTGGGGTTTTGAAATAGGAGCAAAAAAATTCAGAACCAAATAATGTGAGAAAGAAAAGGAATTGAAGAAAAAGAGGATAACCAACATACAAGATAGCATTTCATGAACAATCAATCCAGTTGAATGAGTTTGTGTGAACAGTTAATTTGTACAATAATTTTATGTTTTTTTTTTTAATTTTTATTAATTGTATATAAGGGCTATTAAGATATACAATTTTCACTTAAAGGATGGAAGAAAGACATTCGTAGCCTAAAGTCCTTTGGTCTTCTCATTTTAAAAAAATGAAAATGATTTGAATGATATTTCTATGTAAGAAATGATATTTTTCTTCTTCTTCTTCTTTTTTTTTTTGTCAAGTTTCTCATCTAGTCTTCTTTTTCTTCTTTCCCTTTCTAGTTCTCAACAAAGAAAAGAACAAAATAAAAAAATAAATAAAAACAAAAAATTGACAAAAGGACTTAACTTATTAACAGATTTTAAAAATAGGGACCAGATATATAATTTATGAAATTAAAGGGCTTATAATATTAGTTTTGTTAAAATAAGGAACTAAATTGTAGTTAATATAACTGTTAAAATATATGTAGATAAGGTTTCAAAGCCCGAGATAACAGAGAAAAAAAATAAAAAATAAAATAAAAACCTATATCTGCTACCTCAGTACCTAACATCAGATTCAACTGCAAGAATCAAACATCGAGAGAGGGCAAAACAAGAAAATGAAGCTGAAAGTATATGCAGATCGAATGTCGCAGCCTTCACGGGCTGTTCTCATCTTCTGCAAGTAATTCTCTTCATTTCATTTCCCTTTGTAATTATTTCAACATGCAATAACCACACGCCGCAAGTTATTGAATATGGCTTATCTCTAGCCTTTTTTTTTTTTTTTTTTGCATATATTTGATCTGGGAATTGTATATTATTGATACAGGGTAAATAGGATAGACTTTGAAGAGGTTAGAGTTGACATCTCCAAGCGTCAGCATTTAACTCTGGAATTCAAAGGTACTCTCAATCAAGCTTCCCTCTTTCTGTATCTCTGTCTAACTTCATGCTGTGTTTTTGTTTTTTTGTGAATTGGATAAAAAATTGAGTCTTTTGTTGTTTATTAGCAGAATCGAGACCACCCCAGATGGAAATGATGTTAATTTTAATTGTTTTGATAGCTTAAATTGTGTTAGCAAGTGATAATCCTTAATATTTGTAAAGGAAGTTGTGGCAGTTATATGTGTTTCTTGATTTTGTTTTCAGAGATAAACCCTATGAGAAAATTGCCAGCTATAGTTGATGGAAGGTTCAAGCTATTTGAGAGGTAATTTAAACACTTTTGTCCTTGTGGTCTCTCACATTTTTGGATTCTGGGTGTACATCTAGGACCTGAGTTTTTTGCTAGTCATTTTGTTCTATGATGTAGTTTTATGTCCTGCTTCATAAATTGTAAATGGCAATGAGAATTGGCTCTTCCTTTTTCTGTTAAAAATTTTGATTCATCAAATTACTCATCGAGTTATTGATTGTTCTTTGCAGTCATGCAATCTTAATATATCTTTCTTGTGTATTTCCGGGAGTTGCGGATCACTGGTAAGTAGAAGCTGCTTATCCAATGTACTCAATTGCGTGTACATTTTGGGATATGGGTGGCTTAAATATAGAAAATCCTTTTTGTTTAAAGAAATGAGATGGGTATTGGCAATGATATAGATATGATGTAATCTATGTTGTTCTGAATACCCAGAACAACGTGTTAGACAAAAGATAGGAACATGCTCTTGTAAGTTGTAACTAAGAGCTTGTGGGTTACATTCTTGATCTGCTGTCTTTTGTTGCACCAAGGCTGACTTTATGCATTGCTATAATCTTTAAGATGGATAATATTGTATGGTCATTCTAGTCTTGTCTACTGCTGGGACAAAGTATATTTGATTTACATGTGCCAACTGGCGCAGGATTTTCAGTGATTTGATTCAAGATTTATATGCTGTGGCCAATTCTTAACAAGTTTTCCTCTTCCCACTGTAAGGTATCCAGCTGATCTTTTCAAGAGAGCTAAAATTCACTCGGTTTTAGATTGGCATCACTCTAACTTACGCCGCGGTGCTGGTATGTCATCATAAATTTGATCTGAAACATTTATGGTAACCTTTATTTCATATTGTCCCAGTTACAATGTTTCCGTCCCTGGAAACTTCCACCATAAAGCTTTTATTTTTATTTTTCTTTCACAAGATTCTGATGAGCTAGTGCTTTTCAATTTGAGGCTTCAGCGGAATATGTTAAGAATACTACATTAGCACCTGCACTTGGCCTACCTCTGGATCCACAAGCAGCTGCTGAGGCTGAGAAAGTTCTGTTTTCATCCCTGTCAAAGATAGAGTCTGTATGGCTTAAAGGGAGTGGCCGGTTCTTGTTAGGTGGAAATCAACCATCCATAGCTGATCTAAGCCTAGTTTGTGAACTAATGCAACTGGAGGTACATCGATATGACTCTCTACTTCAATGATAGTGCTGGCTGTGTAACCAAAAACAAAAATGTTGTGTTGGCTAAGATAGAGCACAAAATCTTACTGAGAAAGAAGATTTACTTGAGAGTTCTAGTATTTGGATTTTGGGGGCACGAGGTCTTCCTCAAATTTGAACACAAGGGAAAAATCCCTGCTGCCTTTCTCCTCCCTTTTTCTTTTCCAATACCCAAAGACAGGCACACTTAGTCTCACTATCAGAACAGAGCAAGGTACCAAAATATGGACCTAGTAGTGTGATTGATGATGTCTTCTTGGCAGTAGTCAGAAGTCTAACTCTTTTTGATCGTTCATTGACTAATGTTTACTGATGCAGAAATGGGAATCTGCATTGGCAAGGAAACATTTCAGCTGCATGTGCTTGCGTTGATTTTTCCATGAATATAGGTTAATTATTTGTGAAATTTCACTTGTTTCTTTAAACGTGGCTGAAACCTAGAGCACAGTTACAGGTGTCTAGGAGTGCAGGCAATCCACCTTGCATCCACATTTTTTGTTTGTTTTTTGATTATTTGACCGTTTGGGAGGAAATTACTTTAAGAAACACACATTTCCTATGTTTTTTATAGCTACTGCTTTGGTTGCTCTAAATTTACTTTGAAGTCCATTTCTTGCAATGCAAGGTAAAGAAGTTACCTGATGAAGGTGTTTTCAAGTAGAACTTATTTTTGGCTGTAGGTTTTGGATGAAAAGGATTGCAGCCGAATACTTGCCCCCCACAAGAATGTTCAGCAGTGGATTGAGGATACAAAAAATGCTACAAGGCCACACTTTGATGAAGTGCATCAAATTCTGTTCAAAGCCAAGGTGAAACTGCAGAAGCTACGGTCAATGAGCATAAACAATGAGTCCAGCTTACAAACAAAATTGGCCTCAAAGATGTAGCAATTATTTTGTTTGACGTCATTTTAAAAATACATACGATAAGCAATCTGACTTCATCCTGTAGAGCTTCAGCCAAAAATTATGGGCAATACCCAAATGGTTGGAGTAAATAATGGGTTGTGTAAGAAATTGTGATTTCTTGCAATTTTCTGTAATAAGAATTTGGGGCTTGAAAGAGATGCTGTATTATATATATCAGCAAATGCAATGGACAGAAAGCCTCATTGTGGTACTTTTGAATTGAAAATTGTCAGAGTCACAGCAATTGTTTTGATATAACTTCTCTGCTTAGTAGTAATTGTTTCTCGTGCAAATTTGATCCACGCTGTCATTTGTATATATGCCAAGTCAGAAACAACCATCAGCTTTCTTCTCATGTTGTCTTAAATTGGTCAAGTAATAAATTTCGTAAATTTATCCTCAGGGTGCATGCTTGAGAGTTAATAGTTATTTCTCTTCACATTATTCTCGTGTTGATAGCAATCTTGACGTGGCAAACACTTAGCTGCATATCATACATGCTTGGCTTCAAGGCTTTCATCTGCAAACCTGTGAAAGAGCTCTAGACTTTCACGATTCAGAATGTGGTTATTATCATTTGAAACAGAAGAAAATTCAAACATTTCATGCGCCATGTATAAGATATTTCTTCTTTGCTAATTTTTCTTCATTTAATATCTCATGGAGCACCAGCAAACTGGCAACGCTTTCTACATATCCTCGACATTGCTCTCAATCAACTCCTGATTGACATCTATTCAAAACACCTGAGTCGAAACTAGTATTATTAATCACTCGATCTTTATTCCATGAATATCTAGATTTTCTAGTTTCTTGGGCCTTCTGTAATTCTTCAATAAGAGGGAGCAAAGAACCACACTGACTGAAGAGGCTGCCATTGCAGCTCCGGCAATCCATGGTGGTAAACGGAGTTTAGTGCCAGGGAAAAGCGCCCCAGCAGCTATTGGGATACAGACGACGTTATATCCCAAAGCCCACATGTAGTTTAGGCCAATCCGAGAAAAGGTCTTCCTAGATAAGTCTATAGCAGTAATCACATCCTCCAAATTGCTTTTCATCAGAACAATGTCAGCTGCCTCTATAGCAATATCTGTTCCTGCACCAATTGCCATTCCAACATCTGCAGCTACAAGTGCTGGCGAATCATTGATACCATCACCTACCATTGCCACTTTAAATCCTGTGGCCTGTGAATGAAAAAAATTGAAAGTTTTACACAAAAAGTTTTACAAGATCCCCTTGGCGCCGGGGAGGGGGAGTGGGGGGTGTTGGGTTGGGCAAAGAGAAGCAGAAGCCAAGGTGCACGTACGTACCTGTAATTCCTTCACTTTCTCAGCTTTCTGATCAGGCTTCGCTTCTGCTATAACAGTTTCAATCCCGACTTCCTTGGCAATGGAATTGGCAGTTCCCCAATTATCACCTGTGACCATGATGCTCCTAACTTTCATGCACTTGAGAACGGAAATGACTTCACGGGCGCCCGGTTTTAATGGATCTGATATCGCTAGAATTCCAGTCACTTCCCGGTCAATAGATACTAATATCCCAGTTTGAGCCATCGCTTCAGTTTCTGCAAGCATCAGTTCTCCATCAACTGGAAAAGCAATGTTTTGATTCAATATTAAGCTCTTGTTTCCAACTATTATTTCCTTGTTTCTGACAAGTGCTTTCACTCCATAACCAGTAATGGACTCAAAATCTCGTGCTTCAGGCCAGACATGGCCTTCTTCATCCTCACTGATCTTCTTTGCATACTCCACAATAGCCTTGGCCAAAGGGTGCTCACTATTCATCTGACAAAAATATGCAACCCCAATGCCCATTATAGTCATTATAGAAGAATAGTCTACTTGAGGCAAACTGTAGGCGTTCCATGGAGAAAAGCTTACCTCAGCTGCTGCAACGAGTTCATAAAAATCTCGAAGTGCCATGCTTTTCAGTAGAGTTGTTTTGACGACCACTGGTTTTCCAACTGTAAGAGTTCCAGTTTTGTCAAAGACGATGCAGTTCACCTACAAGATCATACCACCGCCATAATAATTAATATGTGAAAATCCAGAATTTGTAATAAAAAAAATTTGAGTATTCTGGTTAACCTTATGTGCACTTTCTAATGCTTGACCCCCTTTGATTAGAACACCCTGAGATGCTCCAATTCCTGTACCAACCATAACAGCAGTCGGAGTGGCTAATCCAAGAGCACACGGGCAGGCTATGACCATGACAGAGATTCCAAATTCTAGTGCAAGCTGAAAGCTATCCATGGAATGTGGTATCCATGATTCCGGGTAGCCATGGAACTCTCCAGCTAAAAACCAGGCTAGCCAACTTGAAAACGAAAGAATGATGACCTGAAGAAGAAAAAAAAAGGGGTCAATAGGTCACATGAATTTGAATCGGCTAGTTGATACAAATGAATAATCAATCAAACAAAGAAATGATGTATTCTGCATGTTATGAACTTACCAGAGGCACAAAGTATTTGGATATACGGTCAGCAAATTTCTGCACCGGAGCTTTAGCCAACTGAGCTGATTCAATAAGCCGGACAATCTGCGAAAGAGCACTCTCTGATCCAACCCTCGTTGCTTTAATATGCAGTACCCCGTTTTCGTTTAAGGTGCCTCCAATTACTGGATCACCCATCCCCTTTGTCACTGGCCTTGCTTCTCCGGTTATCATGCTCTCATTCACATGACTTGTCCCCCAGACGACAAGACCATCTGAAGCAACTTTCGAACCAGGAAGAATTTTGATCACATCTTTCTTTTGTATCAGCCTACTGTCAATTTCTTCTTCGGTTAAAATGTCCCCATTATCATCCAGGGTTAATAATATTGCAGTCTCAGGTTCCAAGTCCATAAGCTTGGCAATTGCCTCAGATGTCTGCCCCTTAGCCATAACTTCAAGATACTTCCCAAGAACAATAATTGAGATTAGCATTGAGCTAGTTTCGAAGAAATCAGTACCCTCAAAGTCTGGAGAGCTAGCAGCTCTCAATACTGAGTAGACTGAATAGAAGTAGGCTGCATTTGTTCCTAAGGCAATCAAAACATCCATGTTAGCAGAACCACGCCGCAATGCTTTATAAGATCCTGTATAGAATCGCCGGCCTACCACGAATTGCACTGGGGTGGATAGTATCCATTTCATTAGCTCTCCTACACTTAGCATATTGACTACCTTGATGTCTAGTTGACCATTAATTATAGGGATATACATAAATACCATGGAAATTAGAAATATAGGAATCGTGAAAACCAAACTCCACAAGAAGGTGGCACGGTATCGCTTGATTTCTTTTTGTCTGTGAGTTTCTTTGTCTTCTCCTTGTGGAAATACAATTGCCTTGAAGTTTTCGGACCCAGCTGATTCAATGGCTTTGATAAAATATCTAGGACCTGTCATACTTGGTTTGTAAGAAATAGAAATTTTATCGAGCTCAGGGTCTATTTCGATTAATTGAACCCCTGGAAGTGTTTGAAGAGAATTTTCTATTATTTGGATTGAATGATCTGCCTTTAAACCGTCAACTTTAAGATCTATCTTGCTCACAGCTTCTCCAGCACTCATAAGCACGGCTTGAAATCCTATATCTTCCATGGCTTCTAACAGGTGGTTGTAGTCTAGGATCTTTGGATCATAGTAAACTTCAGCTTCTTCAGTGGCCAAAGCCACCTGGATTCTTTGTACGCCATGAATTGCTTGCAGAACTATTTCAGCTGTACAGCAGCACGAAGTGCAACTTATTCCATTAATCTGTATTCTGCATACTTGACTAGATCTTTCATTCATCTCATCTTCAATCAATGCGGCTTGAAATCCAACATCTTCGATAGTCTCGCGGATAGTTTCTTCCTATGAAATGATGGTAAAGAAAAGGGAGAATTATTTCGCATACAGCTTCAGTTCAAAACTTAGTCAAAATACTCAGCCTTCAATTATAATAGTCACTGAGGAATCACTCAGTAAACAATAATCGATAACACTGAAACCAGCACCAACCATTTCTCAGTTCAAACATTTGTATTAGCAACATTAATGTTAAAGAATACACATCCACAAATCTAAGAGGGTGCAAGAAATTTCTCATTAACATTTGTACCCAGGAAGGTATTCTAGTCCTTGTATACAAAACTAGTCGTACTAGTGTACCCTGACTGTCCAAAAAAAAAAAAAAAAAACATGCATGGTCAAATAATGTGAAATTTTCTTTTTCCCTTGAGTGTTCCTTTCTTTTTTTAAAAAAATTCTGACCATGTAGATTTGATTGTGATATTATTCCACTGCCAATAGTTGGCCCTTCAAGGTCACAATCAGAATACTATGATCTGGCAATGATGAAAAAGAAAACACTTGCTTGGTGCACTGACTGAAAAAAGAAAGTGGCATGTTTCTGTTCTGACACGGAAACAGACCATTATCTGGTGAAGGGAAAAAGTGAATATGATGTTATATATATATATATATATATATATGATTTTTCTCTGAGATAACAGTGGATCCAAATTAAATGCAAATATGCCAAATGGATGGTTGCCATGATCAAATTTAAAAAAAACAAAGGATAAAATTAAATGTATTATTGATTAAAAGGAAAATGATTTAATAAAATTAGAAAAAAAAATAATGCTTTTGTTAACTGATCAGATAAGGTTTTTATTCAATATTTTTTTAACGTAAAAGATGCGAAACTTTCAGATCCTATCCTGTACTATTACCATTGATTAAAAATATAAATAGTTCATGAACAAATTATTCAACAGCAAATTGATCCCCTTCAATTAATTGGTCTAGGATGGCATTTACCAATCACTTAATCTTATTAAATTCAAATAACCTTATTTAACAAAAAAAATTAATTTTATTAATTTTGTCTAAAAACTATTTCTACCGAATAATTTGTTTAACAATATACATATATTAAAGCTAAAGGCCATTCCTAGAAGACCTTTCAAAATTAAGTACGTACTATATATGCTTGCGTTTCATCTCCACTATATATGAAAAACACCCATATTTAACCACTTGCTGTGGCGCAGTGGCCAATGCCTGGGGCCAAGGGGTTTGCTCCCTCTGTGGTCTCAGGTTCGAGCGCTGCCTCCCACATGCAGTGGCCACTGGCATCTTACATGGTCGATAATGTCGGGGCCCATGGGATTAGTCGGTTGACGCGAAAGCTGGCCGGATACCCATGTTAATCTAAAAAAAACACCCATATTTTGTTCAATTTTGATAATCTATTATTTATGAATTTGAAAGGGTCGAGATTCAATCATTCTAATTAATATGGCATGCCTTCAACCTTAAAATAAATTTCTCTTCTAATTGACATAATTAAACAAGAATTCTCAGATAGTAACAAAAGCAACTTAATATCTAAGTTTAAAACCAAACTAAAGCCTAAACTTAATCTCATAAAATTAAAAAAGAAGCACTAATTATTGCAGTTCCTTAATCATGCCTTTCACTGTTCCTGGGTGCTGATACATTTTATCCAAAAGCAAAGCAATTTGAAAGAGGATAGAAAAGAAAAGGACAAAATGCTAAAATGAATCATATAATTTGACCATTTTCCATGGTGATAAATCAGCCTAGGAGCTTATATAGTTGGCATAATGTCATTTTCAGGTTGCATGAGAATCACCTTATACATTAAACCAAGAAACAAATGTTTGCAACAGAATAACTATAGCTTTGCTCCTACGCAGTGTTCATCAACCAAGAAAAGTGTCAGACAAGCTAGTAAAAAGAGTTAAAGAACATCATAAGAAATGAGTAAACAAATAAAAGGATGAACATCCTTTTTTCTCTTCAAGACATTAAAGACACTAATAGTGACCCCCCACACACAAAAACATGCTCTTTTTTCAACGAAGATAAATTGGAATTCACTTCTCTGAGAACGAAAATAAAGCAAAGCTGAATTATTTTTTGACATAGTACACAGAACATACAAGTTAAACACCACCCCAACAATAGCATGTTAATAACTCTGTGACTTCAATGAAAATTAGTTATGCAGTTCCAGCCCAAGGAAAATCACTATAAGCCTAATCCATCGTTATTTCCTTTGAAAATAAGCAGCAGACACAATATACTTACATTAACTAAACTCGGGTAGAACATAACTTGAGCCCTATGGTTCAAGACATCAACAATGGCCTCAAGTATCCCAGGAAGCCTTTTGATAGCCTTCTCAACTGATCCAGCACAAGCAGAACATGTCATTCCTGTGACCGAAAACATTGCCTTAACCTCTGTCCCCTTCACATCCACTTCCAAGCGTTTTGCGTACTTTGGCATGAATGGATAGTGTGGCCTTGGCAACAAGTTCCCATAGTTCTCCCGGCGTAAGCAAGTTAATGTCAAGAACTTGGTAGCCATAAAATGTTATAAAGGTGGCTGTGTTTTATGCTTGTGGAGTTTGTAGTTTTGGAAGTTAAGCTTTTGCAACACAAAACATTAAGTTAATGAAATCATGAGCAACTTCTGAGTAAGACATCATTATTGCCTTCACGGCATTGTATATATTATGTTTTGTTTATAACAAAAAGTTTCAAAAGTTGGGTGACTCTTAGTGGCAGATAGTAGCTGTAGGGAAAGGTACTTCTTAAATGGCTTGCAATTGAGAGTCTGAGGGTGAGTGGGGTTATGATCTCGTTTGTTTTTAAAAAAGGATGAAAAAGAACAATATAGTGGATGGTTAAATGGTCCTGCTAGAGCAATACTTGTTAAATATCAGCAATTATTCTTAAGGAAATTTAATTTATAGGGTCCACCATTTCTAAGTTGTAATCGAATTGTTATTGTTTTCTTTCTTGTATGATTTAAATAATTTGATATAGACAATAGTGATGTGAACCCATGTATAAAGACGATAGACACTGAACACCTTTGTCGTTAGACAACTCTAAGAACACTTGCAATCTGGTCATAATAAGCGGAACTTGACCCGTTGCCTATAAGGAGGTAAGAACCGGAGCTATGATACAATGAAGTGAAGAACGCTAGACCCTATGGAGGATGATAAGTTCGGAGACGTCACAAGAGTTACAATCCTTGATAAGTCGATTTAGTTCTCAAAAGAACAAAGGAAGAAAATCCTCTCAAATTTATTAACTCTCAAAATAATTATGTAAGTCCGAAACAAATCTAAACCAGCCTTTAAATAGGCTAAACACACCACTTATAACCCTAAAAAACTCTATACGTTTTTACCACCTAAAGAGAATAGAAACAAATCCTAATGGACTTAAAAACATATGCAAATAATAAGGCTTAAAACATAGGGCCCAAATATAACATCATTAATTAGTTCTAATTATAATTAAGCTAGATATAACAAAATATGTCCAATATGATTTAAGAAATTCAATCTTGGAATTGGATCGGATTGACAAGTCTTAGATCTTTTTTTCTCTTAAAATGGCGCCACATTGGTCCCTTAGGCCCTTGAAAGTGTATTCCGCCCAACACTTTTGAATCGGCATATGAAGAGTTTCTTTAAACTTCTTAGCCTTAGCTCGCGTCATTAGACCATCTATAATATGTAATGGATCAAATCTTGGACTTCTAAACTCGTTATTTTGGACCTCCTTTGGAGACACCACCTTGTCGGTCCATTTGGCTCCATGGTTTCCATCAATCAAAAAAGTCAAGGTTGTATTGATGGAAACCAATGAGTTAAATGGACCAACAAGGTGGCCTCTTTAAGGGAGGTTCAAGATGGTGAGTTTATAAATCCATGATTTGATCCATTACACATTAAACGTGGTCTAATGACGCGGACTAAGGCTAAAAAGCTTAAAGAAGCTCTCCATGGGCTGATTCAAGAGTGTTGGACAAAAAGCACTTCCAAAGGGGCATTATGTCGTCGTCTTAAGAGAGAAGGAGGATCCAAGACTTGTTAATCGATTCGAGTCCAAGATTGGACCCCTTAAATCATATTAGGCTTATTTTGTTATATCTAGCTTAATTATAATTAGAACTAATTAATTATATCGAATTTGGGCTCAATATTTTAAGCCTAGCGAATTATAATTAGAACTAATTAATTAAGTCGATTTGGGCTCAATGTTTTAAGTCTTATTATTTTCGTATTCTTTTAAATCCATTAAGGTTTGTTTTTGTTCTCCTTAGGTGGCAAAGACGTCTAGAGTCTTTTTAGGGTTAGGAGTGGTGTGTTTAGCCTATTTAAAGGCTAGTTTAGTTTTGTTTTAGACTTACACAATAATTTTGAGAGTTAATAAATTTGAGAGAATTTTCTTCCTTTGCTTTTTGAGAATTAAATTTGACTTATAAAGGATTGCAAACCTTGTGGAATCTTTGAATTTATCATCCTCCATAGGCTATGACGTTCTTCACTCTATTGTATTATAGCTTCGATTTTTGTCTCTTTATAGGCAACGAGTCGGGTTCTACTCATTATAACTCGATTGGAAGCATTCTGGGGTTATCTAATGATAAAGGTGTTTGGGTCTCTTGTCTTTATACATGGGGTTCACATCAATTAGTATCAAATCCTAGGTTATGCAAATTTAGGTTAGTTATCCATAGTCCTTACGTCTTTTATTTGATGTCTGTCTTGTTTTTTTTTATTATGTCTTTCTTGTTATTCGCCATAGCTTTTCTTGTTTGAGTCTCGGGCTTCTTTGCTTGATAAATTGAGTCTTATGTGTAAAAAAAAAAAAAAAAAGAGTTTGATTCGTAGATAACTTTGTTTTTTTTTCAATATAAATTAGGTTCTTTTCATTATCTTTTGTTGTATTTCATGTCTTTGTAATTTTGTTTTAGTTGAAATTGAGTCGGTTTCAATTTAAAAAAAAAAGTCCGATATGTTTCGTTTCTATCCCGTTGTGTCTCATTTATTATTGTCTTGTTTAAATTTAATTCAAGTTAGTTATATTATCATTCTTAGTGTCCGAAAACTTAAAATTCTATTTGAATTAGTTTGTCAATTTCTTATTCCAAATCTGTTCAAAATCCGATCCTTGGAAAGTGATATTGTTGAGTCATTTGCAATTGGTTAATCCTTGTGTGGTTTGGATTAGTTTGTAAAAGAACCAAAGGAAAGAGTTAGAGTAGTAAAAGGTTGAAGAGTGTGAGCATGTTAAAGGGAAAAAACCCAAAAAAGAGCAAGCACAAGCATTGAGTGTTATCAATTTGAGTAAAACACATGAGGGAATGTGTGTGAGGAATTTTTATTGCTAATGAATTTTGTGTAGGTTGTAAACATGTCAAAAAATAAAAATCCTAAGAGAGAGCATGATGTGATTGTTAATGATAATGTTTATGGTAAGTCATTAGTAATTCTACATCCTTTAAGCACGCAAGTGATAAGTAAGGAGAAGGCATGAAAAGATACTATTTTTCATACTTAATGCCATGTCAATAATAAAGTCTATCGTATGATAATAGATGTGGGTGGATGTATCAACATTGCTAGTCCCGAGTTAGTCAAAAAATTGAGTTTACCCGTAATAGAACATCCTAAAACCATATACATTGCAATAGGTAAATGAGTGTGGAGAAGTCAAGGTAAACAAACAAGTGATAGTGTCTTCTACTATTGAGAGATATAAGAATGAGGTTTTGTGTGATGTTATGTAAATGAGCATAGGCCATATTTTACTAGGAAAACTTTGGCAAGTTGTTAGAAAAGAGACATATGATAAGTTTAGCAACGAGATATTCATTTGAAATGAGAGCACGAAAAGTAACACTTATTCCATTATCACCTAAACAAGTTTATGAGAACCAAATGATCCCGGAACAAGAAATTAAGAGAAAAAAGTTGAGAGCACTCAAAATTTCATTTATAATGATGACTATGCTACTACCGATAAAGAGTTAACCAAGTGATTACAAGCCCAAGGCCGAGGCATCCAAATTCAATCTTAATTTATAAGAATTAGTGCTTGAAGAGAAGTTAGAGAGTATTAAAAAAAAAGAGTCTTTACTCATTGAAGACTTAGCAAAACAATAAGAAGAGCCAAAAGAAAACGAGTTTGATAATCTTGTGGTTGTACAAAAGGAGGAAGACAATGAAAAGATTATGAATGTTCAAAAGAATATACTATATATTGAATTTGTCATTCTAGAGGAGTCCAATGACAATAAAATCAAATCTGAATTTTTTTTGCCATTATTTATTCGTATTCTATAGGTTGGGTACATGTATATGTTTTTGATAATTTGTTATTACAAGATTCGAAGATGAGTATTCTCTAAACCGGGGAGTATGATGAGCATCAAGATGAAGATTCGAGAATGAATCCTTTTGAGAAAAGTAGGAATGATGAGAATAAAGAAAGTAAAGGTTGTATTGATGAAAACCAAGGACTCAAATGGACCGAGTAAGGTGGCATCTCCAAGGGAGGTCCAAGATGGCATGTTTGTAAGTCTAACATTTGATCCATTACATATTAAAGATGGTTTAGTGATGTGGGCTATGGCTAAAAAGCTTAAAGAAGGTCTTCATGGGTTGATTCAAGAGTATTAGGCGGAATGCACTTCCAATGGAGCATTGTGGCATTATCTTAAAAGAGAAGAGGGATCTAAGACTTGTCAATTTGATCCAAGTTCAAGATTGGACTCCATAAATCATATTGAATCTATTTTTTTATATGTAGCTTAATTATAATTATAATTAATTAATTATGTCATATTTGCGCTCAATGTTTTAAGCCTATCTTAATTATAATTAGAACTAATTAATTACATCGATTTGAGCTCAATGTTTTAAGTCCTATTATTTTCATATTCTTTTAAATCCATTAGATTTTTTTCTATTCTCCTTAGGTGGTAAGGACGTATAGAGTCTTTTTAGGGTTAGGAATGATGTTTTTAGCCTATTTAAAGGTTGGTTTAGTTTTGTTTCGGACTTACGCAATAATTTTGAGAGTTAATAAATTTAAGAGGATTTTCTTCCTTTGTTCTTTTAAGAACTAAATCGACTTATCAATGATTGTAACCCTTGTGATGTCTCCGAACTTATCATCCTTTATAGGGTGTGTCATTCTTCACTTCATTGTATCATAGCTTTAATTATTGCCTCCTTATAAGAAACGAGTCAAGTTTCACTTATTATAACTCGATTGGATGCGTTTTTGAGGTTATCTAGTGATAAAGGTGTTTGGGCCTCTCGTCTTTACACGGGGTTCACATCACTAGGAATACATAATAAGTGCCCATTATTTCATGAAAACGGGTTGTGTATGCCTATGAGCTCTCTAAGAGAGTTATTTGTGCATAAGGCATATGGAGGGGCTTAATAGTGTATTTTGGTGTTTAAAAATTTTAGCTATTCTAACTGAATACTTCTTTTGCCATCACATGAATGGGGATGTGGAGAGTGAAGGATCATGTAAAAAGCCTAAGATCAT